TAACTAAGATTATTGCTATTAATCAACAAAGAGTATATTTCAACTAATAAAATAGTAGCAATAGAGTGATTTTACAGGTATCTTTTTAAAACTGTATTTCAATGAGTCTTAAGATGCTTTTTTCCTATCATTTTAACACTGACATAGGAATGCCACTAATAATTCAAGCTGCATTTCAACTATAATTGGCAGCATTAAATTTTTTCCTTCATTCACAAAATAAAGGACCATCATAATCTATGGTGCCTTACCTTAAGTGAAATGGGAAACAAACAATAGATTTATGGAAGTTCTCATCACGTGGATAGCATTTAAATTCAGTTCTTAAATGTACTATAGGTAAAGCAGGCTGAATAATAAAAGCAAAAGACCAAACTAAAAGCAAAGTAATCTTTGCTTATTTTTTTCCCCAAGGAATTTAAAGCCAAAGGAAAAAGAACATAAATGAATTAGTATTGGTTAAATTTGTTCAGTATTTAGACATACAGGATATATGTATATCAGGTATTTCCAATGTTCAGTATTTAATACTTTAACTTTTCAAAAGGGAAGTTCATAATTTCCTATCTCCATAAATGCTTGATTGAAAAAGAGGAAGAACCGTTTCATTTGGTATTGAGTCCTATTCACTTCAGTTTTAATTAACTGTCACGTAAAGTTTCTAAGAAAATTCTGTGAGATAGAATGTTAACTACAAAATAAATAGCTGTACAGTTTATGAGCATAAAAGTAGGTATTCAGTTCATGAGTACAAATGAATAGAATTAAAAAACAGATGAGTATAGGTGAGAACTTCAGTATTTTTAAGTGAAACTTTTATAAAGTAAAGCAATACTTTTGCAGTAGTAATAATCTTTCATACTTGCTTTCTTCTATTTTCATCAAGATGCAACCAGAACAAAATTATTAACCTATAGTTGCATATATGAAATAAAATGTATGTGTACTAATATCTACAATAGATGAAATGTACTATAGAACTTCTATATACAAGTTTATACAAATGCTTCTTTATGTCGGCAAAGACTGTGCTAAGAAAGAATGAATTGAAAAGAAAACTTCCCTTTTTTCTACCTCTCTTTTAAAAATCTATTATGCTGCTGCTGCTGCTGATGTTGTGCTGGGGACTGAACCCTTACCCTTGAGCTTGCCAGGCAAGAAGTGCTCTAACACTGAGCTACATTTCCAACCCTGGAATCTAATTTAAATCAGAGTACTCTTTTACAGATGCTCAAGTGACAGTGACATATGAAATAGAAAAAAAATACTTAGTATCCTTGGTAAGAGAAGAAATTTAAGTCTAACAAATGAAATACATTTCTCAGCTTCAATGTTTGAGAATAAAGGGCAGCAGCATTGGGCTATTAAGGTTTTAGCTGTTTAATGCTCCCCAAATAGATGACTTGATGGAAACTTCTGTGTATCATTTGAATTTGTGCAAACTGCTACCTACCAAATTCCATTTTCCTCTTCCAGATATTTGAGTATTCTTTTTATCCTGTTCTAGTCCCTAATCTTTTGGCCATTGGCGAACAAGTAATTTGTGAAAGTTAATAATGTATTTTGATACACAGAATGGCAAGTCTTTGTTCACTGCAAACATTTCCTTAGGGTCATCATGACCCTAAAGGACTGCATGTGGAACTCAAAAATGTACTGATATTTTTAGTTGGTTTTTGTGAAATCGATAACCTCAGAAAGAGCTCACACTTTGGGTCAACTATGCACAAACCACCAGCAGGGCCTACCTTTGACATCCTTAGTCTCTTCAGAACAGGGTAGGACAAGGGCAGCAGCAGGCATCTCTGCAGGATAGGCACCCTTTGTGTGCTGCTCCCTTGGCCCTAGTGACTGAGAGCCTGCACTGCCTGGATGCTCTCAGCCAATGCTCTCCTCTACCTGCTTGAACACATACTCAGTAATGGATAACTACAGGAAAGGATACTGGAACAGTGGAATCAGCAATTTGCAGTTTTGTGCAGGAAGCTCTTTGCAGATGCTTTTTTAGTGTAGTGTGCCCGCTGTGGTGACAAAATTGAAAAAGCATGTTGTGTTTGGTGCTTTGGAAAGTGTGAAAGCTGCCAGTGACTCTAGTGTCCTCTCTCGGGAAAAGTAACTGCAGTTAAGGAAGTATTTGCAGAAAACTCAGGGATTGTCAACAAGTGCTGTTATGAAGATGGCTGGATGATCACGATGACACCAAGTTATCCTTCAGGATTTGATGAACTCGTGAGTGAAGCATGTGAGAAATAAGTAAAAGCTTAGTTTAGGGGTGAAAGTCACACCCCTAAATAAACTAGTGTGAAATAATTTTTAAAACAAAACAAGAATGAACATGGAAACATCTTCCCAATTCAGAGTCTTGAAAGGCCCTCAGGACACAACAGATCTTATCTGAAAACTTTTCTTAGCCCTGGTGTTGCTGTATTATGAGAATACTTTTTTTTTTTTAAAGATAGAGAGGGAGAGGAGAGAGAGAGAGAGAATTTTTTTAATATTTATTTTTTTTTAGTTCTCAGCAGACACAACACCTTTGTTTGTATGTGGTGCTGAGGATCGAACCCGGACCGCACGCATGCCAGGCGAGCGCGCTACCACTTGAGCCACATCCCCAGCCCAAGAATACTTTTCTCATACACTTTTCTACATGCTTTTGAAAATGTGCACATTAACAGCTGCTGTGTATATTTAATTTTTAAAAAAAAAAAATGTCAGTCATCCTACAGGGAAATTCTAAGTGGCTGGGAAACCAGTTGAAGTTTTGTTTTTGTTTAGCTGCCCGTTAGAAGTCCTGGGCACCGGACCTCCAAGGTGTGCAGGTCCTGGACATTGAGGACTCCACGGGGTATTAAAGTCCAACATCCTGGTGAAAGGAGAACCGGTCTCCCTTCTGCTCTGCCCCCACGGGCACAGCCTGGATGGAGCAGGCTTCCATTCCAACAGCCCAGCTTTCCCCATTGGCCCTGTGCCCCTCAGCCCCTGGCCTCCAGACCCTATTACCTATTTTTTTGGTCAGTGTCATCAACATGACAGCCGCGTCCCAGATAGTGTTCAATTCTTTTCAGTTCACAATTTTTGGCAGCCTGGTGGATCTTCCCAAGGGGGTTATATCCAATAACCTTGGTCCCAAGGCTTAAATAAACAAACTTTTTCCAGGCTCTGGCCATTCCTGCAGACACGGCCAACTGCCTGTGTCAAGCGGCCTACCAAGGCGGCTCCTCCGTTAGCTATCCGCCAGCCACCTGGCAAGACAGTCGTTGCTGGGAGACACTGGTAAACACAAGTGCGTGGGCAGGCACGCACGTCACGCGCCACATTCTGCCTGGCCTTCGGTGATTGGCTCCTGGTGGGCCCGCCCCCTGCACTGTGCTCTGCGCCTGGCTCTTCTGTCCAGTAGGGGGAGCTGCAGTACCCCGTCCAGCCCCTGGGTCCCTAACACTTCTGCATCCAGGGCCTAATCCTCCACCACCGCACACACACCACGCTGCACACTGAGCTTCCCTACCTGCAGCTCTCTGCCCAGTTCCACGCTAGGGCGTGGAGAGGAGGGCGTGTCTGCCCTCCTGGAGGACAGCAAGAATGCAGGAGCAGAATTGGGGTTAGTCCAGGAGGTGAACAAGTTATAACATAACTGTTAGCATAATTGCAGCCATCGTCCCCTTCCCCACCCCCACTTTATGAATACTGTTCTTATTCCCAAGAAATAGAAAGCAGCCTGAGATAAACCCTACCGGCCTGGAGACATGCTGGTCTCTCCCTGTTCTCTGAGAGACAGGAGACAACTTAACAGAGCCTGAGGTGGGGACATGCTGGTTTACCTGTTCTTTCCTTGAGAAGATAAAGAAAATGGTGCTTTCCCTGTGAGAGAGGAAAACTGCCTGTCTCTGTTCCCCAGAAACAAACTTGCCTTCCACAAGATCAGGGGATGCTCACTATGTCAGTCAGGACTAAACCCGCCCCTGGCACCCTGGCCATGATTCTAGCCCGTAAAAGGAAACATTAAAGGTGGCATTGCTGCTGCTGTCCCTGCTTTGTGCAGAGCAGCCTTGTCAGGCTCCTGACAATAAACCCCGCTTCCTGTCCCAGGTGTGTGTGTGTGATCAGTCCTGTGCCACTCCTCTCAGGAACTACCATTATAGCTGAGGAGGATGTGAGTAGGTTCCCAAATGCATTTATAACTTGCAGCTTTTAATTTATACTTTCCTTCTCTTCGAATCAAGCACCCAGGCCTGAAGAACTCTCCAAATCATTTGAGATAAGTTCATGCATATTTACTAAGAACATTTCCTGGAGGGTCTGATGGATCAAATTATATTATAGTCAACTTTGTCCAATTTTAGTTAGAAGAGAAACTTACCTTGAAGCAAAATTGGTATAACTGAAAATGTAAACCTTATATAAAATTGAGATACACTGAGTTCTTCAAAATAGCCTTAAAACCTAGAAAAGAATAAGCTGAAAAACAAAAGCTCAAAATTTTGATAAAAATTATCTCCTTCCCTGTTAATAATTATTAATATGACTAATATACCAGAAAGCAATTTAAATGAGGGAAAGTTTATTTTTGCTCACATTTTCAAAGTTTTCAGTCCATGGTTGGCAAACACCATTTCTTTGGGTCCAAGGTCAATGACAGCATCATGGCAAAGGTGGAGAAGAACATAGAGATTCAGGTTAATGGCATTAAACTTTTTGATGAAATAACACTAGAAAAAATTTCAAACATTACAAATAAGTCATACACATACACAATCCATACAGAATCTCAAAGAGAAAAGGTTAAGGAAAATAGCAGCCCTGGGGGCCGGGATGGTGGCTCAATGGCAGAACGCTAGCATGAGTGAAGCACTGGGTTCAATTCTCAGCACCACATATAAATAAATAAAATAAAGACCCATTGGCAACTAAAACATTTTTATAAAAAGCAGCCCTGCAAGACATATCATAACCAAAATGACTAACATAGGAAAGAAGGAGAAATAATGAAAGATACACAAGAAAAACATCAGGTCACATTTATTTACATTCATATAAACTTATATTTGTATAAGTTTGATTATATTTATTTATAATGCCTCACTTCAAACTTCTCACCTTGGACTCTAAGATCAAGGGAGGTTGGAATGAAATATTCCAAGCTTTGAAAGAAAAACACTTGCCAACCAAGACTGCTACATCCAGCAAAGTTATGAACGGAACTAAAAATATCATAAGTGAAATAATCTAGATGCAGAATGTAAAGTGTTGTATGTTTTATCTCCGATGCAAAAGCTAGAGAGAAATATGAAAGAACAAACAAGGGATCACATAAAAATAGAAAGAAAATCACACAGCGATGAGCTACCTGACTGGTTACAAAGATGTAAGAGGGTAAAGCAGTAGCTACAGGATGAAATGTACTTTGGAATAAATAAAAATGCCCTGAAGCTTCTGAGAATTCTCTCTCAATGAGGACTTAAATTAAAAACAAAAGTCTATGCCCTAAGAAACATCAGATGAGTTAAGTGCCAGAGGAGAGGTACACTGCACATATATCAACTGAGGCTATGGAGACAGCTCATTCAGAAGTCCCTGGAGGGCAGCACAGAGTGCAGTGAGGGGAGGGCTGCTGGTACTCAGAAGAATCCCAGAACTCCTCACTTTCTTCACTTCAGTCATGGTTTTCATATCTTTTGGTAGATTCTTGGGTTTTGACATGTCTGTCCTAAGTACAATTCAATATCCATTTTTGCCATCTTTGCTTTTGGTCCAATTCTGCAGTATATCACAGCTTCTTTCCTCAAGTAACCTCAAGTCCATGGACAAAGGCTGGTTCTCCAACATAAACACAAGTACACAGTCTGCTCTGATCAGCTAATGATGCACCAGGATCAAAAACATCATGTCTTGACCAGCGAACAGGGTGCAGGAACTTCCAAATCTCCAAACAGAGCTGCCAAAACAGGGACAGACAGATAATGGCCCATGAGCAGAATGCCAATGTCACCAGCAGCACAGCTGATGCCACGATATGCAATACTCATACACAGTGATCACCTACCAGGGTCATTATTATAAGGCCTGTTCCTGGAAAATGGGGTGCATGGTGTTAGCCAACGACCAGTCACCAGACAATTCTACTCTCCCGAAAATACAAAGACCCCATCCATTCACAGCTCTACTTCCTTGGTCATAACAACTTCCTGTTCTCTCAACCCCAAACCTCAATATATGAGTAAGTCAGACTAGCACTATGCATCCGTTTCTTAACACTGATCTTAGATTGGTCTTTCCTTTTTCTCCTTCTCCTTGTGACTTTGAGAAGGTCCACTTCATGGTGCTGATCAATGTACCCACAACCTCACTTGCTAAAGACACACAGCTGAGCTCCCAGAGAAGCAACCTGTTAAATTTGAGGGAGGCCTTCCCACTGAGGCAGGGCCTACACTGCAGGGACTCTTAGGAGGTCCAGACACTATTCCAGCTCCTGCAGTATCTGGCTCCTCAATTGCTGGGCCTCCCTGCTCCATGCTCGGAAGCCAGCTGCCAACATTGAGGGCTCCTTCTTCCCTTCAAGCACAAACAGGGAAGAGGTTTTGCTCCTGGATCTGTAGGTCTCACCAAGGTAGGATCCTCCATCTTGGCATGCTGTGCTTGTTCGGGGGATTGAGGGTATGAAGTGCAACATGCTGAAATTTACATCAGGAAACCTGCATATTCAACTTTTCAGTGGCAAGGTAGCTCTTAAGATGGGTGAGCCTTAAGATACGTTGACTGTGGCAGCAAAGTGTTACCAAAGACTCAGCTTATACAACTTGAAGACAAATGCCAGTGGGAAGACACTGTTTACTGGCAAAGGTAAAATAAACTGTCAAGTAGCAGAAGAGATACAAAAACTGTTTTGGGCAATGTGAGTTTGTTTTAAGTTATAAGAGTCATTGGTATACAAAAAATGAAACCAAGAACCCATCAACTACAGGGAAAAAGTCACAAGTAAGATGAATCAAATGTGACAAAGCCCTGCACTGAGCATTTGCACAAGACTCCTTATTAAGGAGGAAAAAACCAGTGCCAGATGGTGTTCAGAACCTGGATTTCACACTCACTGTTTCAATATGCTTAATAAGCAAAGGAAGGTCCCCTCTAAATAACACTCACATACATTTACCATGAAACACCTCCCCTACCCTGCAGCGACCCTACCTCACCCTTAGGTGCAGGCCCTACATCCTCGAGGACACACATCCCTACTGGGTGTGTGTCCCCAAGCTTGGCATTCTCTAACCTCTGCAAGAATCACTCAGCCAATGCCCAGACTCAAACTGCTACTCCTCAGCCAGTAGCCCCTGCACTGCCTCCCACTGCTTCCCCTCCCAGCAGTCCCACCCCACACAGCCTAACCCCCACAAGAACCCTGTCCTGACAGGGCCCTACCTCTTCCCCTTTCTGGAAGCTCCCCCTTCCTCCTACTCTCCTGCTGCTCCCCAATACCTAGACACACGTCCCAGGGCTTCCAGGCAGCCAAAGCCCTGTGGTGCATGTAGAAGGCAGGTGGTTCTCCCAGTAGCAATGTTCAGAAGCACACTTCCCCATCATGTAGGCCACAACTAACCCACAGTTTGCCGCAATCCCCTGGAGTCAAGCACTACCCAGATTTGGGGGGCTCTCTTCCATCCTCAAGCATTGGTGGTGGTCTGCCAAGTGGATACTGAACAAGAGCCCACACTGCCTTGCTGCTCAAATGCAAACCAGTGCCTCCTACCTTGCAGCAGGGCCTCCAAGGGTCTCCCATCCACTGACTCATGGCCACCCTCAGAATCTCTCTCCAGCACCTGCAAGATCACACTTGGTCTGAGTGTGAGACCTGATGTTTCTAGGGGTCATTCCCTTGGCATTGGAGCACCATCCTTCCTGTTCTACTTGGCGTCCCATCCCATCAATACAACCTGTCATACACAGAAAAGAAATGAGAGTGCAAAGTTATCAGGAAATACTCTTCACCAGAAACAGGCTCACTGACCTGAGGCTTAGAAACCTTCTCCTACTCAGCAATCAAGACCTGAAAACTACCAGGCCATGGATCATAGGCAACAGTGCTGCAATTTCCATACACTTCTAATACCAACCACAGTGTTTTACTAAGCATTCAGATAACAAGGATACATTAATCAAAACAGAGCATGAACTAAAATAACCCATGAGCTAAAATAACCCATGTTAACATTTTACTACCACAAATGTGTACAACTCTGATACATCTAAGTTTCTACTGGTCAAAATATAAACATCATTTACAACAGAATGTGAGAGAAAATAAGAACTTCACTCCCACATGACTTTTTTTTTTTTTTTAAGTTTACATATAGAAGGCAACTGGAAGCAAGAAAGATAAGGAAAGGCACGGCAATGTCCTCACTATTATTGCAGTAGTAACAGATCAAGGCTAACCTAAAACAATTCCAGATTCTTCCATCTAGGAAAGATACACACAAATCTCAATATATGGCTAAATTTTTCTCACCACATAACACTTTTCTGTTCAGAGATACCTTGAAGGATCATACTACAGAATCCTTTGTCCTTCATCCTCGAGAATGTCATGGTCTCCCTCAGGCTCAGAATAGTGGTGCCAGGATAAATCCTCAAAATTCTTTTGAGCACTTAATTGCACACCTGTGAATTCTATTTGGACTCAAAGTCATCTCATCATGCACTTGAAAAAGGATCTCCTGTGGTCTTTCCCAGTGTCGATATAGGCACTGGGGACCATGTTGACGAAAACCACTGGACAGCTACTCTATTTATTGGGAAAGACCAACGAAAAGAAAAGGTCAAGGAAGAAGTACACAAAATGTTTCTGGTAATGTTAAGTTGGTACATGGACGTGGAAATCTTTAGCATACAAAAGAGTGGATCCCTAGCATTCCATTGAACTGGGATGAATGACCAGTGAAGAAGAAAATACGCACTCCTGAGACCCACTCACCTGTCCTACAGACCTGCACTGGTCTTCTTCAGAGAACCTGAAGACCTGTGGGTTCTTCTTCAGAGGAAACACTACCACTGGCAGCTCACATTCTGAACCTTGACTTCAAATGACATGGCTTCAGGACACTTATTAATGAAAGAAATCTCTCCTCTATTCCACTCCAAGTGTGCTTCCCCTGCCCACTCCAATCCCCACATCCTAAAGCCCCAAGACACCCAACCCCTCCCTATTCCCAAGATGGGCATGCTATCACCTCTGCCAGGCTGCTGCCCTCAACAAACACCCAGACTTCACTTCCTCTGCTCTGCAGAGAACCCCTGCACCAGGATCCAATGGTCTCCCCTCCCCTGTCTCCTTCTCACCCCGACCTTCCTCAGCAAGACTGTGCTGGTCCCCTGGAGCCTTCCCTACCTGCTGCTGGGGTTGGGCTGGCAGGTGACATCATCCAGGACGGTATAGAAGAGTCCAGGTACCACAGTCCAGCCTCCTGGGAATGCAACCCTGCTTACATGAAGCAGGAAGTCTGTAATTCTTACTGAATTGAGATTAAATGTCATCTGTATTTACCTTGGGCTTCCCATCCAGGATCTGCTAACAGCTCTCACGTTTTCTGTGAGCCGTTCTTGTCATTTTCTGTGTACCTCTTCTATCTATAATAAAGTACACACTAAAAAAGACTCATTTTCAGGAAACTTCAAAAGGTTTTGTGCATTTTTAAAAAATAAAAATCTTTTAATCTATATTGCAAGCACATGGTGTCCTGCTCAAGAATTGCCCTTCCATGCACAGTACTCTGGAGACAAGTTCTGAAACAGGATGATGGGTACACAGGAAAGGGTGGGGTGGTGTTCTGTGTACTTACATTTCTGGGTTTCAACATTTTAATAACAATACATTAAAAATGAAAATAAGGATGCTTCTGGGTAACAAGGGCCACCCCTGTCCAGGTGCAGTGGTGTACACCTGCCACCTCATCTACTCAGTAGGCTGAGACAGGATGTCTCAACTTTGAGGCCAGTGTCAACTTAGAGACTAGCACAACTTTTTTAAAAAAGTAAAAATATATGAGTACAGTTGTATGGTAAAGTGCCTTTGGATTCATTAGCCAAAAACAAAGAAAAAAGTGGGGGGGACATCTCCACTGGGAGCTGTCCTGGGCAGTTACTCCAACTTTCCTCCCTGTGCACCCCCAGTCACACCCTCTCTTCTGCCCAGGTTTCTAAATTCTGGAGAAAAGCTGTGGCTGACTAAGATGTGAACTGCTGTATAATGTTCCTTTAGATTTACAAAACCCAGAACACCCGGTGATCCTCCGATAAAATCAGAATGTGTCATGCCTCTTCTTAGTTTTTAGTTATATATCAACACAAAACAAGAAATATCTGTGGCTCTTAACATGCAGAAATAAATTTGTCAATTCAAAGAAAGTACAGGTACTGGCCCCAGAAAGTCAAGCTCCACTGTGATGGTCTATTCAGAAAGGAAGGAAAGGAGGCACTGCTGGATGACAAAAATCCTACTAAGAGAGATCTTCCCTCCCACTGCCTCATTCCCTGATATAAGTGGGGTAGAGAAGTCCTTTTCACTTACTCTTCCATCTGCTTCTGATCTTAGAATTTTACTTCTCTTATCTATTCCTGCATCTGTTTATCCATTTTCTTCTTTAATTCTTTCTTCTCTCTGAAGTCAAAATGGAAATACAAGAGGGGAAAAGCAGGCAAAACAAATGGCAGTTTGGATTAGTCCATTTATATACATGTACCAGTTGTAATGAGAATACAGGCTTCTGAGTTCTTTGAGTTCTTTCACTATTCTAACACCCTTCAGCAACATCTGTCAACTTTTGGATGAACCAATTTGTTGGGGTTTTTTTTGTATGATTACAAGCAGAGCCTTTCCCGCTACCTCACTCACCCAAACATCTGTGGTTAGAAAATCTGTGATGAATGCTAAACAATATTTAAATTGTCAGACATCTAACACTGGCAAAGAGGACATAATGTTAGACCGTCATATTATCTGGGCTGATGGGTTTTAATAAGAATGTCTTATTATCTCTATTCAAACAAACTGAATTCATTAGATTGTTGGGCCTGTTACTGCAGCTTGGCTCAGGGAAAACACAACTAACAGTGCAGAGCTAGGTTTCCATCTGTACTCTATGCCTTACTGAAACTGGGATTTGGTTAAAGGGCCTACATTTTGTGAACCTACATTCTTGATTTTTAATAAGGTTATTACTGCCTTTATCTCTTGAAGATATGACTCTTAAAAATGATAAGGGTTGGGGCTATGGCTCAGTGGCAGAGCTCTTGCCTAGCTTGTGTGAAGCACTGGGTTTGATCCTCAGCACCACATAAAAGTAAACAAATAGAATAAAGGCATTATGTCCATCTACAGCTACAATTTTTTTAAATGAGCATGATACACATGTAAGTTATAATCCATGGTGAGTTATATTCTTGATTTTTATAATCTACGGTAAGTTATATTCTTGGTTTCCATGTATCATTAATCACTGAACTGCTTCAAGAATTACGTTGAGTTGCCCAACTAGAAACCATCTTCATAGCAAAGGAAACCATCAAGAATGTGAAGAGGGCTGGGGATGTGGCTCAAGCGGTAGCGCACTCAACTGGCATGCGTGCGGCCCAGGTTCAATCCTCAGCACCACATACAAACAAACATGTTGTGTCCGCCGAAAACTAAAAAATAAATATTAAAAAAAATTCTCTCTCTCTCTTAAAAAAAAAAAAGAATGTGAAGAGAACCTACAATGGGAGAAAATCTTTGCCACCTGCACATCGGGTTGAGCATGCATCTTCAGGATATATAAAGAAATCATGCAATGTAAAAACAAGTATCCCAATCACCAAATGTGAAAAGGAACTGAACAGGGACATCACAGAAGATATACAAACGGTCAACAAACAAACAAATAAAATTTACACATTGTCTGGGGAATTTAAAATTTAGATTAGTTTACCCTAAAATATGCTTTGAGTTTTTTTGGATTTAAATCTTTTCTTTTCAATATCTTTATTTTGTTTGTTTTTATGTGATCGAACCTAGTGCCTCACATGTGCAAGGCAAGTGCTCTTCCACTGAGCCATAACCCCAGCCCGCATTGTTTTACAAATGTGAAATGTAATGAGTATATTCAGAGGTCACAAATCTGAAACTTTTCACATACGCTTCAAATGCTAGCATTTCTTTTACTAAATATTTTTTTAATTGTAGACAGTCTTTTATTTATTTTTATGTGATGCTAAGGATTGAACCCAGTGCCTCACGCCTGTGAGGCAAGCACTCTACCACTGAGCTACAGTCCCAGGCCTAGCATTTCTTTTTGTGCCTTTTATACATCTACACCACCCCCCCCCCCCACACACACACACATTAAATTTATTTCTTCTACTTTAGCATTGATGTCATCCAATTGTCCCATCACTCTCCAAATTTCTTTATGTGGCTTCTTGTATTTTTTGAACATTGCTGACAGTCGGTTAACCCACAAGTGCTAACTTTCAAGCTATACTTACAAATGACCATCCAAACACTCAGCCTTCTGTGTGTATTGACAGGGGTGTTATAGCCTAGGGCTTTCAAATTTTGAGTCTAATTAATTTTCATTCATTGTTTTCAATTGCACCACTGCAATGACGAATCATACTTGACTGCTAAATTCAAAACTTAAATGAATAGCTGTTTTCATAGTTATTAAAATAAAGAGAATAGCAAAGATAATCTGGTATAGAACTTTCCATCAGAATGATTTTGTAAAAGTACTTAGAAAATAATGAAGGGATAGAGGCTTGGTGCCTTCATTCACAAAATCTATTAATTTTCTGAGAACACTTATCGTAATAACTTCTTGTTGAAGTTAGTAACAGAACATCTCCTGTGGTCAGTCCATCCTCTTCAGCAGGAACATTTGCAACAATTCCCTGAGAGAGAGCTTTGTTAAGTTTTTTTACAGTCTTAATAGAAATAAAAAATGTCATTTAACTGCTGACCTGCCAACCCAACTGTGCTCAGAACTAAATTTTGAGTCTTTCTGATTATTTTCATTCGTGTTATTCATGAAACTAAGGCATTTCAGTACTAAAGTGGACCATCCTGCACACACTGCCAATGGATGTATAATTACTTGACACAGGAGCTTTTGGGGGACATCTCATATACAAGCCATAGTATTCCTGCTTGCTGGAACTAGAATGTAAGTTCCTTGAGGGCAAGAACCCTTCTTGTTTTATGTAGTGCTCTTCCTGGGCTTATAGCATGCTTATTACATACCAGTTACTCAGTGGTGAATGGATATTTCAGCTTGGGTTTCCTAACTAAATGTGTTTTGTGTTCTTGTGCCTCTTTCATGTATGTACACACCAAACTTCCATCAACTTCACTCCACAGATCTTCCGTTTTCTGGTCCCTCTTTCTGTCCCCTCCATCCCTGTTCACACTACTCTACTGACCTTTCCTCTATTTGGATGAAATTCCCTCCCCCCCATTTTTCCCTTTACCTCTTTGGGGGCCTTCAGTTTGGATTAGATTCTGCATATCAGAGAAAACAATCCCAACATCAAGTATCTTCACAAGACACTAATTTAAAAAAATAAAAAATATAAACAAATTGCAGGAAGATAGTACAGAGAAAGGAGGAAGGAGGGGTGGGGGAAGTGCTAGAGATTGAAACAGAACAAATTATCTTCCATGCTTTTATGATTTTGTCAAGATGTATTCCAACATTATATATAACTAAAAAGAATCAATTTAAAAAAAGTGAAAAAAGTGTTTTAGTGATGTCAAAAGTTTGGGTTTTTCAAATGCAAAGGTCACATCTTGTGGCAAAGAAAATCAGTCACTGCAACCTATCTGCAAAAGTTTTGCAATGCATTCAGTGTCCACATGATGGAGCCAGTTCCTGACTTACAATATTAATTATACAATGACTGACTTCATTTGTATCATGTACTCAGTTATTAACTCAAAATTTCTCCTGTGCTTTCCTTTCTTGTTTTCTATGTATTTATTTATATTATGTGTACATATATACATGTACTGGTGTATTTTCACCCCATAGACTATTAATTAAATATTTAAAGTATAGAATATATTAATGATTAATTAAAATAAAATTAATTAAAATAAATATAGATTATATTAAACTTATTAATACATTAAAATAAAATAATTGAATAAACAGGAAAGAGAAATAGACATTTGCTTTAAGTAGTATTAACTGAAATATATATTATTCAATAAAATACAGGGACTCAAGTCTATAGGATAAACATGACTATCCCTATGTTTATTCTATTTCATGCTAGAAGAGGAGTCATTTTCTCATAGATTTGGAGGCTAGAATTCTGAGGTCAGGATGCCGGCGTGGTCAGGTTCCCATAGTTGGCCACCTTTTCAGTGTCCTCAAATGGTGAACAGAGATGGCACTCCTTTCAGGACACTAACCCATCATGAAGGTCCCATCCTGTGGCCTCATTTATCTGTAATTACCACCCAAAGACGATCTCTCCAAATACGATCATACTGTGTATCAGGACTTCAATATATGAACTTGGGGAGGATACAAGCGTCCGCTTCTAGCAATTTCCTTTTGGCTACCCATAAATGGTCTTTCCAAGTCCTCAAGAGTGCTCCTTTCCTTTCTTCTATATGCAAAGAAAGTATATGTTCTAATAAAAAGCCCTTTACTAATATAAAATTTAACTGATCTTTTTAAAATTATGTTAATATTAGTCCTTTAAAAAAAACTCACAAGTCCCTTATAGTAGAAACTCAAAGCCCAAACTTGGAATTACTTTTTAAAAGACCTTTTAAAAATACGGTGTCATATGTCAAAATTTACCACAGAGAAAGAAGCAGAAGATCCCATTTCAATCTCAGTTCACCTTATGCTACTGCTACTCAGGTAGGAGAGAGGCTATTCTGGGACATTCAGGTAGATCCCAGAGGACTGATTAAACATAAGTGAAATGCTTTCTATCAACATACATTGTAACCTGATCATAGTGTCACTGATTTTTTTCTGGGTATCTTCTAGGACTTGTGTAGCCAGGTATAATGATTGTTGATGCTAGATCTGTTACTGGCCTTTTGGTGTCTCTAATAGTGTTCATTTGCAAAGGCAGGGCAAAAGACATCCATGTGGTGCTTAGTAATCACAGCTTAAGCTATCCAGTAGTACTTGGTCCTTAAAAGGGACTTGTGGAGGGCTGGGGCTGTGGTTCAGCGGTAGAGCACTTACCTGGCATGTGTGAGGCACTGGGTTCGAGTTTAAATAAATAAATTTAAATAAAATTAAGGCCTATCAACAACTAAGAAAAATATTTTTAAAAAAGGGACTTGTGGAAGCGCCTGAGGATTACTGAAAAGTTTCCTTCCACCTAATGAGACAGTCTGGCAGTTTCCTGGTTTTATATATTTGATTCAGTAAAAATACTGCAGAGTGGTATGTGACCACTTGCTGCAGAGTCTGGGTTTCTCTCTAATAAAGCCATTTGCCAAAGGCAGAAGTTGTGGGCTGGCTACACTAGCAAGAATGAAGCACATGAGTGAATGCAACTGTCCTAGTGTGGGGGCATTCTCTGTAGGAGTTCAGTCTTTGTGGATGTCAGTCCAGGAATCTGACTTCTAGGTGTGCTACAGTGTGGCCACACAGAACCTACTACCTACCTTGTGGGCAATAATGTTGGTATTTGAGCTGGCCCACCCTTTGACTTATTTGGATGAGTAGCTGAGTCAGTCGCCGGGAGGTAGGATTATTAAAGGAAAAATAAGATTCTTGGTTACACTCAAGACACGATTTGGGAGCCAAAAACCTTAACAAGTAATCTCTTGGACCTTGGGCCACATAGTTTCTGTAAAATAGGCATTTTTCCATAAAATATTCTTGCATTATCTTGTTGAGGAAGGAACTGAGATGGATATGAGGAAGTTTTACTTTAATGGCAAACTGTACTGGAAATTTTTTGAGGGGGAGGGTACTGGGAATTGAACTCAGGTGCACTCAACCACTGAGCCACATCCCCAGGCTTTGTTGTAGTTTATTTAGACAGGGTCTCACCAAGTTGCTTAGGGCCCTGAGTTTGCTGAGGCCAGCTTTGAACCTGCATTTCTCCTCCCTGAGCCTCCAGAGCTTCTGGGATTATAAGTGTGCACCACCATGCCCAGCTGTACTGGAAATTTTTGAAGAGATGAGACAAATTTAAATTCCAACTTTTTAAAATAATTTTATGAAAGACTATGAAATTCTTGAAATGCATATGAATCAAGTTTTAATATACTGTACGATGGGTGGATGAGGCTGTCCCATTATACTACTTCCTGCTTTGGGTTCTCAGTCATGGTTTGGCAGTGCAAGAACTCTGTAACAAGTTCAATAAAAAGTAAATATGTGGGGGCTGGGGCTGTAGCTCAGTGGTAGGGTGCTTGCCTAGCCATGTGTGAGGCATTGAGTTCGATCCTCAGTGCCACATAAAAAACAGACTTAAAGAAAGGTATTGTGTTTATCTACAACTAAAAAAAAAGATTTACAAAGTCAATGTGGAAAAAATCAATGCACCCAAGTATTCTTAGAACGCTCCAAAAGGTAGCAGCCACTGCTGCTTTCACCAAACTGGACTGCATCTGCCATCACCTTCCACTGTCCAGGCCCCATAAGTCTGGGCCCCAGTCACCAAGATTCCCACAAGCCTATGCCCAGCCCACAACAACGTCAGTAAAAAGCACAGGGAACTGGTGTAGTTGAGAGTCAAGGATCTGAAGGAGAAGACAGTGGGAGAAAAGGCAAAGTGGACACAGCAGAAAAAGTGGTGATGGTAGGAGATCTGAGGAGGAAGAAGAAACTGCAGAGGATGTACAAGACACAGAGATGAGCTGGGCGCAGTGGTGCACTCCTGTAATCCCAGCGGCTCAGGAGGCCGAGTCAGGAGGATCCCCAGTTCAAAACCAGCCTCAGCAAAAGTGAGGCACTAAGTAAAACACAAAATGCGGCTGGGGATCTGGGGATGTGGTTCAGTGGTCCAAGTGTCGCCTGAGCTCAATCCCTGGTGTACACACACACTCCGCCTGGAAAAAAGATGCAGAGATGAGAAAAAGGTGAGACAAGAAATATTGTGCCAGCATGACACTTATGACACTGGCCTCATTTAGAATTCTTGAAAACCAGGAGTTAATGGTGTAATCAAACAAGTGTGGCCCACACCTGGCTCCCTGCCCTTACAGCCCTACCAGAGATGCCACACTCTTTCTCTGAAGCCAGGCACTGCTTACCCAACTTAAATCTGCTGTTGCTCACTTCCTGCCTCTTCTGAACTCGCCCAGCTGATCCCTAATAACCCACACCCATTCATTTTTTCTTCAATCTATCCCACCAACCATTATTCTTAGGTTACCTCTCATAAGCGCACCCTTAATGTCCCAACCCTGACATTATGAGCTTCCCTTCTTTATCCTGATGCCTGGACCACCCTCCAATTTGTTGCACCAACAACGCATCAAGCAAGATGGGGGTCAGGTTGGGTTTCCTGGGCAATGAGCTACCTTATTCTACCCTTTCCTTGTGTAATTAAATAAATAAATGGTTCCACTTCTGTTTTGTTTTTAAAAAGGAAGAATAATTTAAAGGAACTAGTTGGAACAAAACACTTGTAATTACTACTAGGGAGACTGGAGGGTATGTGAAAGCAAGAGGACATGAAGGTATTTTCTGTAGCATCATTAATGTTCTATTTTTGATACAAATAGTAGTTATATATATATATATATATATGTTCCCTTTGTAATAATTCGTTCATCTGTACATGTTTGATGCTAGTCCAGTATTTGCCTTGTTAAATAATATCAAATACATTAAATAAAAGATGGTGAAGGAGCTGCAATTGTGGCTCAGTGGTACAGCACTCGCCTTGCACATTCGAGGTGCTGGCTTCGATCCTCAGCACCACATAAAAATAAATAAGAAAGGTATTGTGTCCAACTAAAAATTTAAAAAAAAAAAGGTGGAGAAGAGCAGAGATTTTAAAAAGGTACTAGAAAATACTTTAGGATAATAAATACATAAGTTTATTATTGAACTGGTTTTATGGATGTGTCCATGTCAAAAGAACAAAGTACATATCTTAAATATGTATAGTAATTATATGAATAAACCTGAAAAATGTTACGTATCTTAGATGAGATTAAACAGAAATAACACTATTAAATGATAAATTTAAAATAAAACTAAGAATTCATTAGCTAAATATCAGTCTCAATATTTATAAAGACAGTAAGGAAAAACACTAAGCAAAGGAGCAAAATTTGAAGTGTTAACAGTGAAGATATCATAGAAAGTATAAGTAATTCCCGATATTGCATTTAGAATAGAAATAAAATTTAAAAAGCTCTGGTAAATTTCATGAGTAAAAATTTAGTAGTATTTACATACGTTGTGACTGTAACACGTATGATCATATATAATGATGCCTCACTTAATGATGGGGATACATTCTGGAAAAAGCATCATAAGGTGATTCTGTTATTTTGCAAATAACACAGGGTGCTGACACAACCCTAGATGGCACAGACCATTACATACCTAGGGTATAACTTAGCCACCAGTGTACATAAAGTCCATCATTGACAGAAACGTTGTGCCACATATGACTATAGGATTCAACATCATAGCAAGCAGCACAGACCTCATGATGAGTAATTAGTCCTGTGGAACGAAAGACTGAATCCTTTAAGCCTCTAGCCATTTAGACAATGATAAAAGAAACTATAGTGCAATAAATGAGAATAAATGACATCCTTTCCAAAGAAAGCTGCTGGGACAATGGATATCTGCATGACAAAAATTCCACTGTAGCCTTTCCTGATATGACTCAATAAGTCATTGACTTGTAAGTAAATACTCACTCATATGCAGAAGAAAAACACAAGATGTGCCAAAGTTATAATGACGGAACTGAAAACAGTGGATATAGCACGGTGTGACTGTAATACC